CATACTGTATAATGTGTTCTGCTATCTAATATGAGAATATATCTCGTAAACTCTCTGTTCTGTTAGAATACCAAAAGTTTGTTAGAGAGTTTAGTGTTTGAGTCACTCCCCAGCAATTCCTTACATGTTTCTAGCCTTAAGTTTAAAATTTTCTTGTAAATATTTAAAATCAACACCTCAAAGGTCTTTGAAAAATATAGCATCAAGTGTTTCTCTCTTACAAATTTTTAATGTTCTAATATTTTAACTTCAAATTATACTGAAATTTTAAGAAAATATATACAATATTTATATCTTTCTGTATTTGTTGCTCAAATTTATCAAGAATGAAGTTTTAATTAAAGAAGTTTTGTTGCAAAATTTCGTTAAAAGTTAAACACTTTATAGTAGAGAATATAAATATTTGGAATGATTAATAACTTTAACGGCATAGATATAACCTTTCTAAATTGTCTGCTTCAGACGTTTATGCTACCATCGGCAGCAGGTGTTTAATAAAACTGTAGAATACCACTACAACTGACGGCAAATACACACTCACATACATATATGCAGGGTTTTAGCGGTTAATGACGATGGCAGACATACTTGTGCATGCACTTTGCAATAACTGTGCAATTTTGTATACAAATGCGATGATTTTCTAACTGTAGCACGCTCTGCTCCGTGCGCCATTAGTTGTAGTTAAAATACTGGTGAATTCATCGTAGTGCTGATTTAGAGCATGCTTTCCGGCTTGTTAAGCGCAATATAGTCAAGTAGACGAATTCTAAATATATACACATATGTCTACATTCACACATAATAGACTGGCATGATGAAGCAAACAGCGCTATGCGTTGAAACATTCTAAGCGGAAATAGAAATATTGCACGGTAAGGGCATACAGGCATTCAGGAGCGGCATTTAAGGCTGTTTTATAATGAAAGTTTTGGAGTGGTGAATTTGTTGGTCGTTTTGCATGCGCAGTGCTTGTTTCAAAACTGTAGCAACATACTCCTACACGAATATCACTCACAACGCTTCAATCCTTGCACCACCGCTACCATTCCCATATAACTCTAACGGACATTGTATGGTTATGGTATTGTCTTTGGTTGCTGCAGCAGCAGCTAGTATGTTGTCTAAAACGCCCCGAAACGCTTGAGTATATGAAACGTGCCTTGCATAACTTTCTTCGGCAATAAAACGCACGCGCATCTTCATTGTTTCGCTTTTGCTGCAATCATACCGCTGGGGCTTATAATACAAGCAACACAGTGTACGGTGGCATCACACCCATGTCATTATGGTACATACGAATTACGTTGCTAAAATGCTACTGTTATGCTTTGTAGTGCCCAGGGAGTGTGCGCTGTTGGCTGGTGGTGAGGGTGCTAGTGGCGGCAAATAAACATGGTTTCACATCACGTTTTATACCTTAAAATACGGCAAATGGGAAAACATCGACTGAAGGCATTGTACGCTGTTTGGTTAACGTTACTGTGTATGTACTTTACTCCATCCTATAGCAATGTCTTTGTTGTCTTTTTTCCAATCTGGGCAACCGCCGGTCATTGGTCAAGTTGCTTTTAAGCATTTCTCTCTGCTTGCCGTTGAATGTTTTAACGAGCTCAACGTACTTACTGCTTCGTCTGCTGTATTTTTTGTTGCCGTGCGGGGATTTAACCTTAAATGGCATTTTTTACGGAGTGCAATAAAGTAAAATACAGAAGTGAAACGAAATAAAATTAAACAAAAGCAATTATGTTTCGTTTGGGGTTAAAAACACCAAAAAAATATAAAGTTCTGCATAAAAAAGTTGAATAAAACAGATTAAAACAAGAAAAAACATTAACTTCGACTACAACGGAGCCAAAATACTCTTGCCGTGATTCGATCTAACTAATTTCTTTGGATATTGTAGCGTTGTTTTGGACATTAGTCTATGCCAATTTTCGGTAAGATATCCTGTCAAATAAAAAATACTCCATACAAGCACTTGATTTTGATCTAGAGAGAGCTAAAAAGTAGAGAAAGCTAAATTTCAGATCGATAACTCCAAATCACACATTTTAATACAAATCTGTATTATCGCCTTTAAAAAATACTTATTTTTAGCCAACAAAAAACATGCCAACACATAATCCAATTTTCATGGACTTGTTATAAGCCTCGGCTGGAATGATCTTCATTACTTTCAACGAATGACTTTTAATGGTATCAAAGCACTCATGCGTTCGCTTGAATGGGGTTTTCAGTTTCGAAAACAGAAACAAACACAGGGAGCCAAACCTAGCGAACACGGCGATCATAAAGTGAGTCACAATTATACTAGAATGGAACAGCGCATTCAGGTCTTTTGGTACGAGTCACACACGAGTTGACACACTTCATACCCAAAAGATTAACCAAAATGGTTGAATTGATCCTCTTTCATTGCTATGCGCGCAGTTTAAATGTCAAAATTTATCAGATGGTATACCCTGTTGAGAGTATAAAAACTCAGTTAAATGCGAATAAGTTCGAATGGATGTATTATTTAGAAATTGTAAGAAGACGAGTATTAAAGTTGTGAAAAATAAAAAATTCATAGATCTGGTTCCTAGATAATGCTGGGACGTATGAAGCCATAAACAGATCGCATATTCATATCTTCGGTAAAAAAATTATATTATATATACATAGCTGATATATTCATTCTTAAGTTATGCTGACTGATACATAGGTGACAACATCAATCGAAAGTACCAAAAACGTTTTCACTCCAAAATATTTTAGCATGCTTGAGTGAAAATCAATAAATTAAACAAAATTTTAGAAACATTTTTTTACATATCTATTTGTGTACCAAGTTTTAGGTCGACCACTAATCTGATGGAATTCAAAATTACAGTTTTATGAATGTTATATATTATTTGCACTCGATTGCCCAGCATAATTGTAGTTGTTGAGGAGTTAATTAAATAATTTTTGGAAACATTTCAAATCAGCCATGTTCCTCGCTCTTCTCAATTTATTTAGTAATTTTGACCATTTTGATATTTGTTTGCAATATGTTGATTAGTTTCAAGTGTTGCAAACAGCTGTTAGGTATACAAAATCATTATACAATAGTTGGTGTAAATATTTTATAAATATGGAAGTCGAACGCAACGTTGATTGTTCTATCGAAACTACTTTTGATATTTATCGAAATTTTTATATATTTTAGCTTTGATATTACACAAACTAACACCTGTTGCTAATAATATAATATATTATATCAATATAATTTTGCTAATTTACGATTAAATTTACTTTATGATACATGTTAACTACACACATATTTATTATATATATGATTATATTTCAACAACGCCTTCGTTTTCATTATCATAGTAATACATTAGCAATAAATAAAACATTAAATCCCACATAATCGGTGTTTTATCACTACACCCTTATATTCACACATAATGTACGCCATGGCGTATGAGCGCTTTTTATTATGCTCTCTAATATCTATTGTTATTTTGATGACATGGCCAATTGTATTCTATTATTATATGCGCGCTCAATGTGAGAGTCACAGCTGTTTTCTTTTCACCAAAAAAGTGAATACCAATTGCCTTTATATACCTATATATAAGTTTTCGAGGTATATAAGCGGGATAATCGACTTTGTCAAATTACAAGTATGTATTTATTAGCTCTATTATTAGGTGTTTAGTATTGTAGTGGGTAAATTGTTTGAATATTATTTAATGTGATTTTAATGTGGAGTTTTGTGTATAGAAAGGTACGAGTATGCTTGTATTGTAATATGTGGATAGATATTATACTAAGGAAAAAGAGAATCGAAGGCCGGTGAGGTTGCAGATCATTTTAGTTTGTCTTACATACCAAACTACAATATTTTTTTCAAGATATTATAAGTCTCTTAGGAGAGCATTTTTAGCTCTAAATTATGCTCAAATTGTTGATATACTTGTACGTTCCCGAAAACCAGACCGAATAATGCTTGCAAATAAAATCAGTCTGTTTTAATAGCTCCGACTTACTACGGAAGTTGACTGTTCAAAATTTCGGTAATACCAAGACCGAAAAATCTCTCAAATCTCTCTATCTTCTTCAAACATTTTAATGAGATTTCAGTAGCATCTATAAAAATTCAAGCCAACTTATTAGCTCTCGCTCGGATTGCCATATCATATAGCCGCTATACAAACTGAATGATCCAAATCAAGTTCTTGTATGGAACGTTCGTTATTTGTGAAGGGTATTTGAGCTTCAATGCAACCGAAGTTAACGTTTTTCTTGTTACTTTTTAATAATGAACTAAAATTTCTCTTGAAGCTTTTTATATAAGCTTGGTGGTTCCTCTTCAAATGGCATACGCTTTAAGTCTAGTTACCTAAGTTACTAAATTCAGCGAGTTGTCGAATATAAAGTGCAGAATGAAATTTTCAGCGCCCGAATTCAAAAACAGTTAATAGTACAACCATTACTTGTGCGAACAATATGCTTATCATATACTATGTGCATATACATATATCTACAATATATATTTCTACTTTCCAAACTTGTCCTTTTGATTATTTTCCACGGCTTAGCGTCGAATTAGGTCATCCGATTAAGTATACTAACATTTCCTGTTGTGGATTTGCTTTTGTGTTCAACTACAGTTCATAATTGAAACGAAATTCACATTTTCGATTATGCTCGTTTCACAGAAGCACACACACACACACCCACACACAGATCCATACAAACAAACAAACAATGCGATTTTATCCGTAAATGGAATATGATGGATGATCAGCGATAATTATACAACGATTGTAAATCAATTGCGAATGTTTTGGTTAGCCGGGCAACTGACTGTCACTGAACGTTCAACAAATAATAATAAAAAAATAATAATAAAGGCAATAATGGCAACGAAATTAGTAGCCATGAATGGGCGCTGTGGACTATGGCATTCAGTTTTATATAAATATGGGAAATTTTTACTGCCGGAATTGTATAAATATTGCATGGTATTGTTTGCGAAAGCTTTTTATTAACTGGAATGTCAAGAAATTGTAGCATTTTTTAATAAAAACGCAATAATTTAAGGAAATTCGTTTGCGCCCGTTATTGCTTTCCATATTGAATTATTGAAATTGTTGAAAAATATGTTTACCATTAAGTCGATTGCGAATACAAGATGTGAAATGTCCTTGGCCTAGCAATGAAAGAAAATAAAAATTGTTTAATGGCTTTATTTGTCGATATAATCTACATACATGGGTCATTCCATGTCAAATCGACTAATAGTTGGATTTTTGAATTTGAAATGTTGAAAAAATAGAAAAAAATTACTTCGCCAAAATTCAAAAATTTATATCTTTGAAACGAAAAAGAACACACCTCTACGAATTTCAGAATTTTTTTCAGATATGTTAAAGGTATAATATAAAAACTTTTGAGTCCAAAATTTTCCCTCGACGGGAACTTTTTACAATTTTGAAAAATTGAAAAATTTTTAATTTTGATATTTTTCCAAATTTTTTTTTCTTATACCTCTTAGTGTCCTCTATAAACGCACCAGCGTTTTTTTTATACTCTCGCAACCTGTTGCTACAGAGTATAATAGTTTTGTTCACCTAACGGTTGTTTGTATCACCTAAAACTAATCGAGTTAGATATAGGGTTATATATATATAAATGATCAGGATGAAGAGACGAGTTGAAATCCGGGTGACTGTCTGTCCGTCCGTCCGTCCGTCCGTCCGTCCGTGCAAGCTCTAACTTGAGTAAAAATTGAGATATCTTTATGAAACTTGGTAGACATGTTTCCAGGTACCGTGAGACGGTTGGTATTGCAGATGGGCGTAATCGGACCACTGCCACGCCCACAAAACGCCATTAATCAAAAACAAATAACTTGCCATAACTAAGCTCCGCAATAAGATACAAGACTGTTATTTGGTACACAGGATCACATTAGGGAGGGGCATCTGCAGTTAAAACTTTTTTTTTTAAAGTGGGCGTGGTCCCGCCTCTAATAGGTTTAATGTGCATATCTCCTAAACCGCTAATGCTATAATAACAAAATTCACTAGAAGCAAATGTTTTTAGCACTTCTACCTACAGTGTGAAAATAGTTGAAATCGGGTGGCAACTCCGCCCACTCCCCATATAACGGTACTGTTAAAAACTACTAAAAGCGCGATAAATCAAGCACTAAACACGCCAGAGACATTAAATTTTATCTCTGAGATGGTATAAATTGGCTTTATAGGAACCGCGTTCAAAATTAGTCAGTGGGCGTGGCACAGCCCACTTTTAGGTGAAAACCCATATCTTGAGATCTGCTTAACCGATTTCAACCAAATTCGGTGCGTAACGTTCTTTTCATGTTTCTATGCCATAGTGTGAAAATGGGTGAAATCGGACTACAACCACGCCTACTTCCCATATAGCACCATTTTAAATTCCATCTGATTCTTTCACTTTCCACTATGCAAATCCGACAACAATGACTGTATCGGGAAAAAACTTTGCATGAATAATGCGATTAAAGTATGCCACCTTGTGGCCAAAAATTGTCTAAATCGAACCAAAACTGTTTAAGCCCCTAAGTACTAAATATGTGGATCCCAGTGCCTATAGTTGACCTTCTACCGAAAATATCAGTCAATCCACATAGAAATCTCAAACGAGTATACTATTTGACTTTGCGAGAGTATAAAATGTTCGGTTACATCCGAACTTAGCCCTTCCTTACTTGTTATAATATACAATAGTTTCTGAAATATTGAATAAATAAACTCATACAATCGGAAAAACAGTGAAAATTTCAATTTTGAATAACTCTTAGGAAATTTTTTTTTTAAATTTTTTCTTTGGCAGAACTTTGTTTTATGATGAGACAAAACTCTCTGCCAAAATTCATCCAAATCGGTGGGGGTCGCGTCCAACTATATGTCGATTTGATATGGCATGACCCACATAGTTCTTCAATAACATTTCGATACCGGTTCTATGGTGTGAAACTTCAAGGTCTTCCAAAAAGAAATTTATTTCCAACTTAACCTCCTCATTTCAATGAAATGTTTTTCCTAGTAGCCACTTTCTCAATCTGAGAAAAAGGAAATGGGCGCTCATAGCTTAGTTCCTACAACTTAGCGGTCTTAGCCACTTATCCAGCTATTGCTATGTGTTAACTTGTATTTGTCATTCTCAGGAGACAATGTCCAATTCGTTTTTCCATTAAAAAAATAACGTTTCAGCGATATGTCGTACAACTTTGGCAGTATTTCTAATCAGGGTTTATACCCGAGGACAATAATAGTGATTTATTGTTTGTTATTATATAAGATAATCTACTGATACAATTAATTTATAAATCTTGTTCATCGAATGAGGTAACAAGGTCGTTTCTAATAGTGTTTCTGGTATGAACTATTCTACCCCATGGTATACATTTATAACTGATACTAAATTACTTACTTTAGGCGTCAGCAGCTTATTTACGTACCTCAGTGATTACATAAGTAATAATAATAAATCACCACTCCAAATGCAACAATTTTGTTTACTAACGTACTCATTCAACCAACAGTGCGCTTCATCGCCGAACAAAATATTCTTGTGAAAATCGGGATCGGTGGCCACCTCGTTTCGGGCCCATTCACCGACCGTTCGACGCGATGGATTCAGTTTCAATTCTTGCACGAGTTGGATTTTGTAAGCCCCAAAACTAAGATCCATCTGTAAAAGCCTCATTGGAAATCACACGTCTAAAATAAACACCCGTTACTACTAAGTAAGCAGCTCATTTTAAAAATCATAGTTCAAAAACAAAGTAAAATTTAATTTTCGAACCATTTTTTGTTAAACCAAGAATTTTATACGAATGGTAACATTTTTTTCCATTTCATCCTATTCCTCGCTCTTGTGCCTTTTTTCTCAACTGAAAGCTCTGTAAGTAATTTTTGTGTGCTTTTCTTATTTCTTGTCTTTTTCTTTTTTTTTAATTTTCTTCGACTGAATAAAGTAATTTTTTCATGATTTTTGCTCAGCAGCCTGCTTCTATCGACTACAATTGCCAGCAATAGAGTTCGACATGAAATTCACAGGTGAATTTCGCGTTGAAAAAAGTTCGTAAATACACCTGGGAAATTGTGTAACTCTCCAAAGTTGCCACCTGCTAACGCTAGAAGGAACCGCATTTTTTTTTTGGAATTTTTAGAAGACTTTCTGCAGCACATATCTGCACTTCAGCGGCTGCTTATATGCAGTTCTTTGGGCAGCAGAAGTGAGTCGTGCCAGACTGATGAGCGTGTTGAAGAGCAGCGTGCGCCAGTTGCCTTGCCAGCAACGCATATTTCATTTGCAGTTCAATGGAGATTTCCCAACTTGAACTTCTTATGCTCGAATAAAATTTATGAAAGCAAGCAAAAGCCCAAAAGAATAGCACACAGAATTACAACAAAAAATAAATAATAAAACTGAATCCATAAAATAAATGCAGAAATTTTGAATTGCGCAAAAATTGCGTAAATTGCACAAATAAAAAAGAGCAATGCGTTGCACCGTAGTGAAAAGAGAGAGAGAGAGAAAACTATATGTATATCTCTATTGAATCACGCGCCTTTTCGCCTACTTTTGCTAGCCAAATCTAACGGCTCTAACGAGCGTCTCAGCGCCAGTTTTGTATGCAAAAAGTTTTGCTGCCAAATTTGTTGTTGTAGCACGGCAGCGGTACGGAAACTGCTGAAGAGTTACAAATGTGACAAGACTGCAGGAAAGAAAGCCATTTGTGCTTTTTCGCTACTTTGGAATTTTTTTTTTTTTTTAATTTTCGGTATTAATTTTTTTTTATTTTTTCAATATTTTTTTTTATTTTTGTGAATGGCAAAATGCAAACCAGGCATAAAAATGAACATTGTGTTATTTGTTATAGTCGCTGAGAATTGAAAATGCAGTAGCAGCAGCGGCAGCAGCGGCGATGGCGTCATGCGAGAGTAAGCAATTTATTTCGCAAATCTCGTGTCGCTTAGAAAATCCGTTTGGCGCAAACAATGCAAATGGCTGTAGAGAAATAGTGAAAATAATAATAATTCCTCGTAGAAAGAATCTGCTGTATAACACAAAGTGTTATAGACTTGCAGAAACAATCAAATAATAAATTGCGTGTGTGGCAGGGATAAGAACAAATTGACTTACAGCCGCTTACATGCAAATAAATGCACGTCTACACAAAAAGAGTTGTGTGTTTCTTAAAGCAAAACTCAAAAAACCAAAAATTTTTTTTGCATTTTTGCATAAAAGCTGCTTGAAGAAAGCATAAGGTGTATAAGTAAATGTTGCATATGCCAAGGCGTCAGCTTGAATTTAGCTGGAAATTTTACATAGAAAATGCTTCTAAAAGAGATGCAAAGCCATTTATTAGTTTTTATTTTATTGGTGGTAAGAAAAATGTTTTAGAATTTAATTTTAAAATTTTAAAAGTGCTGATTTTTTTATTATAACCATGTGGCACGTCTGTTTTGAGGTTTTTAAATCCCAATTTCCTGTTATTACAAGTCATAGTATTTTCTATTTGCCATGAAGATCCGTGAATTTTTCACAGAATCTCTTTCTTTTCATTTACCTAGGCCCTCACAATAATTTAGGCAGATTAAATTGTCTGCAAGGTGTTCGTATTTGTTTATTTTCAGACTCTTGCATCTTGCTCTTTTACCTAATTAATAAAAGCGCAACAAAGAGCACGACTTTTTAGTAATAAATATTACTATAATATAATAATAATTACTATAATATTGATATCACCACAAAATACTGCATGGTATCTGAAGATTAAGTTCTTATAGCCGAGCATTTTTTTCAAGCATTGGATACAAGAAATGGCATAAAAGAGACTCACACTAACTGAAGCCACGTTCAAGCCACCTTTAACTTTAAATGACTCGGAGCAGCCATACGAGTATAACCTTTGGGCTGTAAATTGTGACTTTGAAATCGATAAGTTGCAAAATCGTTCATGTTAATTTGTTTTCCTTTTTTTTTTCTAAAAGTTGTCTCATTTTGATTATTCATGCCAATAAAGCCTTGTCACGATTAATGCTGTACTGGGAAATTCCAATTACTATTGTGGAATTTGTTCACTCTACGTCCAATGCAATATTGGCAAGCATGTTTTCATCGAATTGTAAAAGTTTTTCGCCATAACTCAGCTATGCTCAAAAGTTAGTTGTCAGATCTACCGTTTCGTGTTGGAAAATTTCTGCGAGCTGTCCAATGTTTTTTGCCATTTTTTTCGAAATACAAATTAGCATGCTGACAGCCGTTCTTCATTCTGAGCAGAAAATTTACGGATACCTCATTAAAGTAGTGTCACTCTGTTATTATTATAGTTTTGAAAGTTTTTTGCTATCAAAATCGCATTCGCATTAGCTTCTAATGTTTATCTATGGTTTGTTTTTTATGTCTAAAACGTTTACTTGAAGAGTAAAACCCATAATTTAAATTTTTTTTATTGAAAATTTACTTTAGAGCGGAATTATATAATCCAATTTTATTTAATAGGTAGTATTTAAAAACAGTGTTGTTGTTATTAAGTGTTCTAGAAATTTATATATAAGTTGGCAACAAAAATAATTTTAAGCTTTACTAATAGCTCTAAAACAAACATACATTATTTTGGCATTAAATTCAAGGTTTTATTTAACATAATTTAAACTATTTGATTTAGGGGAAATATACACCATTTGGTGCGATAGCTTATTCTCATTTGGTAGGTAATTCCATAATGCCACACTCATAGAAACCCTCATCCCTATAGGCAAAAATTGCGACCGTCAATTTTAACAAGCTTCTCCAAAACGAATTTTTCACCATCAAAGTCATTCGCCATAGACAGGAATAGATAGTAATCAGGTTCCAGAAATTTTGATTCGGATTCTGAGGCGGTTATATAAAACCCTGCTAACAAGGCTATCGCAGCTTATGGCGAGTCACTATCGATGTATGTGGTCTGGCATTGTTCTGCTGAAACAAAACTCCTCTCCGTTTGGCCACTGGCTGGTCACTTCTGGGCGATCGCTTATTTCAGACGGTCTAATTGTTGACAGTACAGATCGGAAGCGAGAGTAGGGCCGCTTGGCGTTGTCATAAGTGACTCACTTTTCCTTCCGCTTCAAAAATATATCGATTTTTTTGCGATTCAGCAGTGACTCGCAGATCGAAATTTTTTCAATGAGGTTTTTCGCATTAACTCATGTGGTACCTATATATCGAGATTTTTTTTTATATCCAGCCATATTTATGTGGAAGAGAACGGTTTTTGTGCCAAGCCTTATTGTACCGACAGTTGTCCTTCCAGAGCGTGATGCATCTTTGTCTGGTGACAATATGGAGTATGAATGGATAAAAATGTAATTGACTCAGACCCCAACTAAACAAGAGTTACACATATTTTGCGAGTCAACAAGAGTTTTTAATCGGCGTTTGCTGATGTTCGGAGTACGAATCATTCAAGAGAAGACATATTTTAGTTAAAGAATATTTATTATCAGCACATATTGAATCACTCTTTACATAGTCGTAGCCTACCACGCCATTACTACAATGCAAACATGCCAGTCACTCAACCGAATGTGTTCGCCAGTTGCTTGGCTAGCATTACATTTTCTAACTCTACATCAAGCCAGTCGATCCACCCGCTCTCCAAACAATTGTACGCAGCAAGCTTGAGTTTCAGCACATCCTCGCATTTGGCAGTATGTTACAATTGACCAAAGCACTGAGCCAATCGTCTCTTTGTTCGCTGGTGACTAAGATTTATTTGCATTTCATTGCTGGAGGAGCAGAAAAATTGCATTATTTGTAGCTGACAGAGAGTGCAGTGTGCAACGGCGCAGAAAGAGCGATGGCGTAAAGGTCATTTCACATTACTGGCACAGCCATGACGAAAGAATAAACATTTTAAACTAAGCGCAAACACCACTAGCGGCAACAAGAGCAACAACACAGACTCCTTATTACCCCTTCTCCTTCCATTCGCCGCTTGTCACATACTGGCATTGTGCTATTTGCGTTGGCAATGTTGCAGCGGGGCAGCCGCAGCGGCGTTGGTGACAGCGCCCTCACCAAATTTTTCTTTCTGCTGTATTATCGCTCGATTTCTTCCGAAGAATGCTACTTGTAATGCCATTTGATATTGCTGTCTTCCCTCCTATTGCTCTGCGCTTTGCATATCTCGCTGCCAAAGCTTATACTTTACTTTTGTTGTTGTTGTTTTTTGCTTGTTCTGCATTCGAAATGCTCGCTTCAGCATCGGCTGCCAATCGAATTTTGGGGGGGCGGGGGGCAAAGCCATGCGGAAGTAATATGCTAATGCTTTCCACACATGTATTTGTATATGTGTATGTGTGTGTATGTCCTTTTCTGTATTCGCAGTCGTGTAGCAGTATATGTGCATCGTGTCTTGTCACAAAATGCGTTTCGCAATCTCCTACGCGACAGCTGACCAGCTTCTTGTGCTCGACGAAGCAGCAGCAGTAGCTCTGAGATAAGACTCTTTTTCGTCTTTTATTCTGACTAAAATATTTTTTTGTTGCTGCTAGCAATATTTTGCAATTGTGTTTATTTTCTTTTACTGTGAAATTCTGTGTGGTTTTTGTAATTCAATACTTTCTGCTGTTTATTTATAACTCTTTTTCTTTCAAAAACGAAAAAAAAAAACATGGCATTATCTGGCAACCTCAATGTTCTCATATTTGACATTTCACACTTTTCACATTATCGCTTTGTGATTGTTTGGTCGAATGCATTTCTTCTGAATAAGCTCTTTGAATAACTGTGAGATGACTTTAAAACAGTTTTTTGTATATTTTCGTTTAAATAAATTGTGTGCGAGTAACAATTTGTACTAGAAAAATATATTTTTAGTAAACTTAAATGTTAGTGTTCGTTTAAAACTCAAATTTTCCTGTATTCCTCGTATTTGTGGCCGTGGCAATTGTTCGATTTCGTCCATTTGCAATGCCTACTTCTTTAGAATGATATCGCCATTTTTACTCAAGTTCTAGTTTGCACGGATGGATGGTTAGTCGGGCAGATAGACATACATCTGAAATTCGAATCGTTCCGTCGTCCTGACAATTTTG